CATCGGCTTCATAGCACTAGCTGGTATAAGGATGTTAAAAAACTCGAAGACATTGTTAATCGTGATCGGCAAAAACGGTGTATATGTCAAGATAATGGAATTTCACTTCTTGAAGTATGGTACGACGAAAAACCGGAAATCGTTATTCCAGAAAGGATACGAAAAATTAAGGAGTTTGTTCGTCTAGCATCCAAAAGTTTTGATTAATAATTCAATGTTTTTTCTAAATTTCAAATTAACGGTCACGACTCCAATTCTCGGAACGTGATCATCATGAAGGAAACCAAATCACGTGTACAGTGCGTCACCCTTTGCGTAACTTATAAAATCAACCAGACGAGTTGTTCTACCTATTATTTTTTTCTCTACACCTCGTTAAATATGTTGTCTGATAAAATCTTGGAAGAAGTTCGATATACCAATTACTGGAGAAGGCCTCTTACGGAATGGGGGATAGAAACGTGGGATGATTTTTTCTTTGAAGAAATTCAAAAGTCAACTTGAAAGCGAGCTGAAAACTTTGATGAGAATAATAGATCGAAAATCAAGAGAAGGACAGAAAATGATATCGATAAAACACAAACTAAACAAGCTAAAGGATTTAAAGGTTAGTATTTTCACATTCTCAAGGTTGTGAAGGTGTGCTACGCCCTGTTTCTGCGAGCATGGGGAAGAAGAGCGTCCAGACTGTGAGTGTATTCTTACCTCTGCGACGTGCACATCTTGCTGAGATTCTTTGATTAAGGTCTGCCGACTCTGGAGGAGGAATCGGCTATGTACCTTCCTTATGTTAAGGATCTTCTTTCTTTGTATATTATATGTAGGCGAAAAAAAAGGAAAAAGAGAATGTGTCTCCTGCCGTACCCGTTGCTGGTAAGTGAGTCGTAATAAATTTTGGTCAATGCGAGAATAGGCCCGCTCTTGCATTATGTCCTATTTGCTACACTGATTCATTTCTTATTTCTCTTTCACTCCTTTTCATCTTCATTTCTAACTAAAGAACAACGTTCGACCAAGCGACAAAAGATAGGAGGTAAGCTTTCACTACCAAAGAGAGTTGGAATTTTTACTGGAATATTTGTTTTGATAATCTGTGAACTAATGATTTTTTTTAATTTACCTTACAGATCCATCATTTGAAGGCATATTGGAGGTAGTTGCCTCTCTCAAGCGAAACCAACGTATCCCAGGATCGTCAACTTTAACTGATGCCCAGGAGCTGAATTTACAAGATATCATCTTTAGTTCTAACCCTAATAATGAACTGTTTGTCATAGAGGATTTGTATCGAATTGTCACCGATCCCAATCCCGATCCCAGGTTTCTCATAACTGGCACGTCGGGTGTAGGTAAATCGTGTTTTCTGATTTATTTGTTAATACAGCTTTTATGCAATGTTGATAATGCCACTGTCGTTTTCCAACCCTGTCAAGGCAACTTACTTTACTGTTTCGAGAATTCAAATCTCATTGTTGGAAAAATTGAGGATATTTTGAACCGCCTCTACCTTCCCAAAACATGGTACCTAGTCGTAGAGAGAGAATAAACATACAAATTCAAGAAAAAAACATTAAATACGTCCGAACTGCACAGAATCTTTCCAATTATAATGATGATGATGTGGTTATCCGACCAACCGTGAAAAATTTTGGTGCGGTAGATTTATTCGTTATGCCAGATTATGTTTTTCAAATTACGGTGTCTAAAAAACATCCCATCAAACAAAAAGAGCTAGTCAAAATAATTCCAAATATGTTAGCCTACAGAAGGGATAGTAATGCAATAATTCGACTTGTATTCGTAGTTCCAGATGACATATATGATGACTTCGAATACCAGAACTATGTAACGCCAAAGAAAAATATTGGAGACGATCTTGAAGAATTTAAGGATGTCGAACGATTATCTCCGGTTCTCAATAATGTGGAACAATGGGTTTTGAAAATTGATATGTCTATGCGTCAACAAGAGTGATCATGAATTAATCTCTGGCTACTTATTTTGAGAAGGAAGCATGATATTAGTTTAAGTTAGTACATAAATATTATAGGCTACAACCCAGTATATGTTATTTTGCTAATTTTAATAAACACTTATTATTATACATGATTGATAATGGAAAGTTTGCGAATTTTGCATTAGATGATGTAAATTATGTACCGTAATAGCTAAAATTTTGATATAGCCCGGCTGTTTCGGGAGGTAATTTTAACCTGATGCTGATCCTGCTTATTTCGGGAGATAAATTTAACCGGATACTGCCCGCTTCTGCGCAATTTTGACGAGGCAAAAGTGATCTGCCGGTAAAATTCTTGCCGGGCTGTATTACGTAAGATTTGCATATATTAAGACATGATTTGCAGATAGTTTTTTTTGGCAAACATTATTTCACATGAGATTTGGAGTGTATGTTAATCCTTCGTCATTTTTATTGATTTGCAAAGTGATTAACGAAGTGACGAAATGCAGTGCGTAATTACCCCTTTTTTCTTCCTCCGGTCATATTCATTTCAAAAAAGATTAAAGCTCCCGCGAAGTTCCCAGACGGAAAAAAGTTATGAAGTAATGACATCGGGCATGTTTGGTTATAATCCCGAAGATCTTTGATCAAGGAGGTCGCTATATAAGACAGGTCAGATGATGTCGATTTTGTTATTGCTAGATTAAATGAATAAATAGTACCTACTGCTACATGTAATTCTTGATAATAAAGACTTCTTTTAGGAGGGGTTACGGCCATTATTGATTTTTTATTTCGATGATTCTGAAGAAGGGATGCCAGATGAATCGTGTGATGGATATAATGAATATGGTGAACGTAATAGAGGTTATTACTATCGTGAAGGAAGATACGAAAGAATGACCTCCCCAATGATGAGACCTATTATCTCTCCTAGGAGAATTATTGGGTGGATTGTAGACTGAATTATCATATAGGTTTATTTTTTTTTAGAAATCGAAATCAGCAAATTAATAGACATTAGGGTTGCCATATTTGTTCCATGTTTTGTGGCGATCGTAGCATCCAGAAGCGACGGTTCCGCAGTATTAGCGTTTCGCAAAATCGATCTACGATTTGTTAATTAACTTCTAACCCATGATGTGGCACAGTAAAACTTCCCAACTGTCAAGCCTATTCCGGCTTCCTGTGATCCAAATACGTCACATCTTTGCTTGTTTTGAAGCTCTCGGTGCCCTGCATCTGGTCGAATAGGTTTGGGGTTTCTATAACATCTGGATCACGTTTCGTAGACGGTTGAAGTTTCAATTCTTATATAGTGCTAATAATACATTTTGGGACTCACTGGT